GAAATTACAAACATACATAAATTATTTTTCATAGGCCTCGTTGCTTTGTCAATTAGGTTAATTGGCCTTCGCCAATATTGGCATTCACTGCGCGATTTCGTTATATTGGGGATATCTAAATATCTATAACAATCGATAATAACAATCGAGCAATGTAGTACAAATATTTGAGCCTGCCTCCTTTGGGAAGTTATCAGCAAAGATTCGAACTTGGCTTATAGGACCTTGGTCCATACAGTAAGTACTTGGAGGATGTAGGAAGTTTCCCAATTAATTATGAAGAGTGTCGTCCACTTGGAGCTGTACAACTGTTTCGCACCTCCGGACGAGAGAAAGCGTTTCTAACTTGTGCATGTAATTAAAAGCAAAGTTGACCGTTGCTTCCGATGCAAAGTTCATCGTTTACCCCATTCTATTATTGCAGTAGGGATAGACTGAGTTCAACAAACGAATCGTTGGGAGAGCTTTTTGAAAAAGAGGGCTTTACGGTCTCGGAACTTAACGAATATAATTGCCAATGCTCACGAAATGTTTATATCGGTACGACAACGACACGTCCTAAAAAGTGGCCACAAGCGTCGCTTCAAATAGGGCAAAGTTTACGGGTATAAAACTCAAGATCAGCAACAACCAGCAACGATAGCAGCAATGAAACCCCGAAATCATTAAGAAACAACCAGAGAAACGCCACGCATCGCTAAGAAAAGGCATTCTTCATGTTTCCATCATTTCGACGGTTGAAAGTGCCCTAAATGAATGGAGAGATTCGGGCCCACTGAATGCGCGACCGGCACAAATGGGCCTTATCGTTGTACGGTAGAAAAGTGAAAAATCTGCAGTTTTTCTCGCGTTCCGCTTTTACTGATGTCGATGTCCTTATTCTCACAGAAATATGGGGAACGTCAACATTCAAGGTGATAGTTTTACGGAAAGCACGCCTTGGCTCAGTTTACTGCTGAGCTTTTGTCATGGAGCTTCCGAGCGCCATAAGCGGACGTTAGGAAAGGCGAGTTTTTTTTTATCTGAAGATAAGTTAATCATTTTCGCAGCTTCCTGTCTTAATACTTGCGCTTCTGCCTGTTGATCGTCAAAGCATGCTCCGTTGAAACTAAAGCCCTTGTCTAACACTTAAAGATACACTATGCCAGACGAGACACGGTCCCACACGATCTAAGAAAGAGTCTACGCCGCTATCTTGAATCAACTACCATATGACCTTATTGACCTACACAGAACTACAAGAGATGACGATTGACAATCCTTCTATTTTTTGTGGGTCGGCTTCATTCGATGCCTACCTGATGATAAACGATGTTTCAATTGAAAAGCGCTACTTTCTGTAACATTAAAAGGGAAAAGCCACCTTAAAAAATCATCCAGCTGGCTAGAAATTGTTAAAAAGGGTTATTGCTGTGACTTATTGTCTCTGCTTTTCACGAATTACCTCTCGCACTATCTAGAGCTAGCAAGTTTACCTTGGGGGCATTACCTCCGAGAATACGATTTATAGCCTTAACAATCCACCTATACAACCTGTAGGATTCTCCTAGAAGATGTGCAACGTGCTCTTAACACGCCGCATCGTTAAAAATACTGTATATACATATATCTATATATTACTATCTACACTGCTAGACGATATTCTCTTCAAAGACACTTGACGACTCTGCTTGACCTGTGAACGACCGTGTAAGCTTCGCCGAGTAATCCTGTTTGCCGCAGCAGATCTACTTAGACTCAGTGAAACCTTTATTCGATGCGGTTCATTCTTATGGAACGCTACAGGAATTATGTTACTACGAAGCAGACATTTCACAGAGGACATAGGACCCAAAAACACTCTTTCTTCGTCTTCAACTTTAAGAGGGGTCCTTTTACGTCCTATATATTCTCGCTTGTGCAGTACCGCCTTACTGGCAAGCAATTTTTCGTCCGAGTAAATCTAAATATATAAGTATGCTGTGGGTCTCCACGTTTCAAAGAAAAGCAGACTTCTTGACCTACTTTATATGCCAGCGCGCGTTTAGCTTCAAAGAAACAAAAGTGGACCAGAAAGACGAAAGCATAAAACGACTACGAACTGAAAATGAGCGATATCAACCCGGAATTCTATCGGAAGCAAAGACCAGTTTCATCTGGAAGGACAGTGGCAAAACCCATCGACATGACATGATCCACCAAATTATCTACCATACGCAGGGCTATCGTTTCCTGAAGACGGTCCCCGCTGACATATAGAATCCTGTACCCTATGTCACCCAGGGCATTGCTTGTTAGCGCTATTGATAAACTAGCCATTTATGAGAGACACAATGGATTTCTATATCGTCCTTCTATGGTTATGACTGTATTTTATACTGTATGTATATGTTTTTAAAGTAAACAATGACTGTATTTTATACTGTATGTATATGTTTTTAAAATAAACAATCTCCTCACAGCACGTATATGAATAAAATAAATGAATGAAAATAACCTATGTAGTCTCGTAACGTGTACCGAGCTCATCATGATGGTTGCAATCATTGTTTCAATAAAGGCGCATTTCCGTTAAAGGTTTGATTGAATTAACTGGTCAAGGTCATGCGTTTGGTAAAGACTAATGACCGAACGATTATATCCCAAGCGATTTTAAATTTTCCAATACAAACTACGGATCCGTCTGTTAGGATCTACCAAGCACATTTAAAATTAACGTAGGCTTTGAGCAAGATTTTCGTTGTTTTTTAGTAATATACATCTTATGCGTCGCTGTCAAAAGTACATGAAAGTCGGCTTTTTTCCTTAGCTGACCCTTTGCCAGGAATACCTCGCAGCTTTTGTCTCTTGAAACTCTTGAAACTTAGTACTTTGCTCATGTGTACACGGGCTTCCGGCCCGGTGCGTGGCCACGCATCCTCCGCCTGTGAGCAGAGAAGGAATGCAACGCAGCAGAAATTTCCTGAGCCGCATGAACTCAGAAAAACATTTATGGAAATTTCCACACAGCTTTCCTTATACCTCAAGGCCACAAATTGATATCTATTGAGGACTTGAAATTGACCGACTCAGAAGAAAATCTACAATGCAAGGCCTCTGCAAGAACGTTTCATTCTAACCACCCCAAGCATTCTGAACATAACTAACCGTGCATTCGTTGTAACACAATAGACTCTACTTTCGCTATTTGTTCATCGATTGTAAGGAGCTATATAATACAATTTGTAATCTTTTTTTTTTTTTTTTTTTTTTTGTTAAGGTGGCTTCCAGTGTAGCTAATTATCCAAGATCAGTTGCAGGTCCTTTCACTCTAGTGTCATCGCAGAACGTAATAAGGCCTACTGTTTTCCTGACACTGTTTCCCGATGAAGGTCCACACCAAAACGCACAAAATGCTTCAGGCTCACGCTAAGTTCAAACGGAATGTTTGTTCTGTCCTTCCATTAGACAATTTTGAGTCCTTTGGCGTGTACTTAGCCTTCACAGAGGCAGTGCCGCGTTAAGGCAGTGCCCCTTTTTTTAAATAGCGGAGTGGACAATGTACTAAGCACTACTCCATTTTGAAGAAGTTGTTCCCGAACATAGTAGAGTTTCAAACGTTTATCCCAATCTATGTCCTAGATAACGATTACGTGAAATTTTAATCTTTTTGGAAATAAAGATTTTTGTTAGCAGAACTGATCTAATTAAGTTCATGAAGCTTAGAAGAGGAACTCTTTATTTACGGAGAAAGTTTAGTATAGATCACTATCATTGTGTAGCTCAGCATTGACCTTTCTCAAAGTGTACAGCTACGGAACGAACCTTTAGGGCTCGATAGAGGAGCGACGAAATTGTTTCGTTAGAAAGCCTTTTACCTCTGAAATGACCCCTATAATTCCATCGTGTAGAAGTTAGGTCATTTACGCTTCGAAGATAGGTCAGTAAGCCGGCCTTTTCTTCTTTTTTATTATAACGTCAGTGTATTGCAGTGTTCCAGCAAATGCTAGACTGTATTATAACGTGGCAGTCACAAGATCGCCGATCCGTGTTGTTAAAATTAGATTCAACAAATCACGGACATCGCTTTATGTGACCACTTGACTACATCAAGTTACCACCTCTGATAGAAATAGACGGTTTCTTTTTACTGTATTCTATCCATTGATAATCTGTACATATAGCGAAATTCATACCCCTGCCGCTTTGCGCCACTGCGGTTCGCTTTGCTTGACCATTTATCCTAGAATATTCTATTACTATTGCGTCATAGTTATATCTGTATATATTTGATCCTAATAAATTGGTTGACAACAACTCTGAAACGCTCGAGACCAACTATAGCAATGCAGAGTTCAAATATCCTGTCTGCTGAAGTAATCGGAGAGATGTAAGTATAATAGATTCTTATCAGTATCTTATCGACGCTAGAATCATTGCTGATAGCTTCAGCCGAATATATTTGTATCGGCATGTCTATGAGTGCTGGTGAAACTCTGTCCGATAGTATGATTGATTGGTCGTTATCGATCGGTGTCCCATGCCAGACATGTTAACACGACAAGGACATGCTTTACTATATACTAGTTACAAGTATCTATCTAATGGAAGTGAGTGATGCGAAAGTTGAGCTACATAATTTCAATAGAAAAAAAAAACAAGAGTAGAAGTTATATTGTATAATAGTTTTCAAACGAATAGAATAACGAAATGAAAATTGCTTTGGAACGCGAGTATAGTTCAACTTCGATGAAAGGAGAGGCTGTATATCGGTTTCGATGGATAGCCATATCGACACACCGTCAATAAGTATAATAAGATCCGCTATACTAACTAACTCTGGAAAATATTATTCGGAGAGATGGTAATCGGAATAGGTTACTATTGATTTCGATAAAATGATAAGGTCACGAATATGTAGAGGAAAACAGCTCAACAATGTTCGTCTCGTTGGCTAAAATACAGACACTGTGAATTCGAAGGAGACTTTATAGTACGGCTCACTACGATTTTGTGTTACCGTTAAAAAACATTATACTTACCCATACTTCTGCCCTTGTGGACAAGTTTTCGCTTGATTGGCACTAATCCGACCAAATCCTCTTCCGTGTAGTCATATTTCCTTTGGTTTCTTTATCTCTTTACTAGTTAGTTGGGAGCACAATCGCCTTTCGAAATGTTCCGCCTGATCGCACGACGTTAATTAAAGCAGCTATATCTGACTGGTGGACACATCGATTGAATTGGGATACTTTCCCATAGTGCAGCTCTTATCGGCTCCGTAGCAACATTTTATCGTCCCCTTTTCTGCGTGTCATCAACGCTTTGTAGCGATCGCCGTATCACGATTGCTTCTTCTGGACCAGATGCTGGTCACGAATCCTCCGTCCTGCTCCGCTTTCTTCGAGAACTCAGCTGCATTGGACCCACCCCTGGATTCTGCTCTTGCAAATTTCTCTATTCGCTGTTGTTGTTGTTGTTGCTGCTACGTCTTCTTGGGAACGCAGTGCGGCCCGGTGGGCTCTGTGTTACTCGAAGTTTAAAGAGAAGATGATAACTGATGGTGCGTCCTGTTTGAAGTAAGCTGCTGCTGCTGGCTACTGGGTGGTCAAAGACCAACTGTTCACCCTCGCCCAATTCTCTCGCCTCCGGAAGAAGTTTGCGGACCGTTACTGAAAGCAACAATCAAGTTACTTACTTAATGCTAAACTCGTCGGAAGCACGCAAATGATCGTTAATAAAACAGCAATGGGCACTATTTTGTAATTTACTTGTATTTTCTAACCGTCGTTACAAAGCTACGACGTCTGCGAGTGTGCACAGTCTTAGGTACTTTTAGATGAATCTATTGTTTTTGCGCTTTCCTCTGATCATTGGATACTCAATAGCAAGCTATTCAACTAAAGTAACACGATCTAAGCAGCTTAAAAGTATAACCTATTTTGTAGAAATCGAAAACGCAGGAAGCAAGTCATAAAAAACGTGTACCTTTTATGTTATACCGCCGTTAGGTTTTCTTCTACTCAATCGCTCCTACCTTAGAGGAACGGAGAATATGGTGCATACACGGACCACTTAGCAGATACAAGTAATTTCTATATTTCTCCAATGCAAGCCGACCTGTTGGTGTAATGAAGTGTATGTAAAGTCAACCTCGTCTTTCGAGAGAGAGAGAGACGTCCGTTTTGAGGTTGTATGGTAAAAAAAATTATTCATTTCATTACCAAATATGCAACGGCCTATCTAGTGATCTAGCCTGGGTGATTGCACATCACCAAATATTCCGGTAACATCGATTGACAACTCTAGATCTAATGCCGATTCTTTATGTCGTTGAAATCTGTCAACAACAATACCCCACATCCAACATGTAGCCTTCAACTAGTTTTTTAGTGGCTTATTTAATTGCCAGACTTAAATGCAGCTTGTTTCAATTCTGTGCCAGTATACTGTACTTACTGTACAGTATACTGTATACCTTTTTATACAATGGACATTTATTTGTCGAATAGGAACAGCCTGGAAGCGTTATTTTGAATTAAAGAATTAATTGGGAGCTTATCGTTCTGCTGTTTGTTTACAATCCTTTACTCATACAAATTGCGTAGTTGTCAATGAGACCCAAAGCATTAACCTCTGGCCTCTTTCAACTGGTTGTTCAAATCACTTCCCTTTCTCCTCCATAGTCCCATTGTTGTTTTACTATGTGACAATTTTATTTCGGAATCAATCCTCAAAGATCTTCGTCAATTGCTTAAAAACGGGCTGTATACACGTGAGCATTTTTAATCTATAGAACGTTATCAAAATGAACGGCGCATATGATCTATAAACTGAGTTAGGCGGACAAGGAACAAGGATTCCCCAATAACTCTCTTGCACCAAAGAGAATGGCTACGGGCGACGAAAAAAATACCTACGCATCAATACGAACTACCGAAATTAATGGACGCTTTCAAGAGATACATCTAAGCGTAGATTTAGATCAGTCAAGCCATCTTGAGAAGAATGAGCGGCCGGCAAGGATCCGCGTGCAGCGCACTTGTATTGAGTACACAAATAGAAAATATTCGATAGACAAGACCAACCTATCCCTGCCTGAATTGAAGACTTTTCTACGGCATCCTTTGTATTGTCCAGATCTCGGCCTTATGTCTACCATTTTTTTTCGACCACTGACAAACTAAATTCGTAAGGCAAGCATAAAAATTGAGAAGGTCCCAAATCCTGACTGGAAACTGGAGTTGTTCAACATCAGAACCGAAATTTTTTATCAAGACAGAATAGATACAATGGTTAGAAAATTCAAGAGAATCGCGTATATAGCACTGTCTCAGAATTTTCTTTTACCGGTTTTTTTTTTATTGTTTTTCTGTATTGCCAACTATAATGAATATTTGTACTGCGGCCTGCTAGTTATGTTAAGGTGAAACGAATTTTAATTGGCGAAATTCCATGCAAACATTAAATTAATAGAAAAATCAGAAATTTGAATATATTGCCATTTTCTAGTATACAATACGATAGCAAAAAAGTTTTTAGGCAATAAAACCACCACGCAACCACACGTACTTACGTCTGCAAAATGAGCGGGTTGGATATTCTCTTATCCTATCTAGGAAGTTAATGAGGCATGGCGTTGTCATCAAGTACCCAGACTGCGTGTTTTCGATTGCCGCACCAACAATCCATAAGTCTATTAAGGAGCTTGAGCAGGCTACATCCATTGTTTCTTTCTCAGCAAGAATCTTATGGTAGCTGATACCCCTGATGTCCGTTGGAACTACTACCATCACCCTACACCCTAACCTACTACTTCGAAGTAACCTGCTAGTCTCAAGTCAATTTACGCGGATCCACTCTTTACTCGGTTGCCGCACTTTCAGTTATAATCCTGTGACGCGTTACGTATTAGTTCTGACCGACAGAGTCTTCTGACCCTAAGCTTTTCTTTCATGAAAAGCCTCCTCGATTGCGGCGATGAGCTCTTGTTCTTCGTGTTCCGACATCTGGCCACTTCACCGTTGACCTTCAACAGTCCAGCTCCTCATCTTGAAACGTTTGCACCATTTACGTGCTGAGTTTTTGTTTCAGGCTTGCTTGTTTAATATCAGTCAATTTTCGACGAAATTTCTCGCCGCTATAGCCTTTGGGGAGCCAAAACTTGACTACTAAGCATCAATTTGCAAAACTCCGAGATGTTTTCTTCCTGAACTGATTTTTTTCTGGAGTAAACTCAGCTGGCTTTTACTCACAAGTTTTTAAAACGCAGAAGTACTTACTATCCAAATTTCATCTGCTAGCAGTGTATATATAAAAAGTAACTTAATTCCATCATTCATCAGCTTTGCTTATAATAGCGGTACAAAAAAACTCCGCTAGCTTTTAACAGTGATAATGTTATCAGTCCGATCCGACTACCTTTTATATTCAGATCAAACAAGGATACAAAGCCATTTAAATAAGTTTGATATTAAATTCTGACCGGAATTATCTTTTCCCTCTCCTTCATCGAGGTCATTCGTTTTGGCAGACTCAGTGTTCGACCCCATAGCTGGGCGCAGTTGGGTCAGTGGCCCTCTATAATGAATACACTCGTCATTATTCCGATACAACACAAACATTGACAAGAGTAGAAACATCTTACTAACTCTTAAATTAAACAGGAAAATGTTTTTGGCACAGTAGACAGTCTCTTCTTGGAAGAACTATTGAAACATGTTGCTGAATGTTTGCTATTTGTCATCAATAGCTTACCTGCTGCAAAAGGCCAATTAGCTAATGTGCATATGCTACATAAGTTGAAACTGCCGCTAATATGCGGCGCAGATACCATTCCTATGAAACTGGAATAGAAAAACGGAAGCTATGGACATTGATTACGTTGTTGGATTCACCACCCACTACAGGTAAAATCCGTAAAGGTGAAACAATTATTATTTAGCATGTCCATTGTCTAATCAGCTGGCATCGAACTCCACGCGATTCAGTAACTCAAATGATATTTATTAGTTGATTGAAGTTGTCTTGGTCTCTCTTGACACCTCTGCCGATCAGGAATACAGCGCAAAAATGATCAAACCGGTATTTTTGTTTACGTAGACTTCAGATACATAAGCAACTAATGTAAGACAACATAATGAATTATCTAAATCATGTGCGTAGCGCAAAGTATAATATTATTAATACTGATAGCGATCCTTGAAGTTTTCAACCCAGAGGGACATTCTACTTTCGGGACCCCTCAAGTGGCGCTAATGATACCAAATTTATGAAGCACCCATGATGTCATCATTTAAGAACTGTCCAACGATACCAAGCCCACTGAGCAACGTACGATTGTTTATCTCTGTTTACTGCAGCGTAGAACCGCTGACAAAGTAAAAAATCATTTTGTCGTTACTGGACAACTGCAAGTGAAGTGATCAAAATTTGGCCTGTCAATTAAAATTCTGGTTTGATATGATGCGAGAACGCTAAAGTGCCAAGGCCAGACATCCAAGAAAGCTTGTGGAAATAACATCGATCCCACCGATATTCTAAGCCAAATCCTGAAAACAGCAAATAACTATAATACTCATTTTAAAGTTAAAGTTTCCTCTGAAGAGTTCGAACTCAAATTTGCTTAGTTGCAGTGCGACCAAATACTGATCGAACTTCTATTTGCCGCCAAAGCATAGCGACAGAAAATAATTTCTAGTACCGTTAATATAATAATAATAATGCTTTATACCGTTTAAAAAAAAAACTTTCCGACAACACCTAACTGCATATTGGAAAGGATCTAATATACTATCAGAAATAAAGAAAATCTTAAACATTTTTGCGTGTTGCGTGAATATTTATTGTGCTAAAGCCGACAGTCAGCGACTATCAGCTTGAAGCCAAGTCACGTTTTTATGCAATGCAACATCAATTTAAAGTTGGCATCGTCTACATGCATCTGTATGGATCATGAAGTAACTAGAGATTCTGACCGCCTCGAATCATACACAATTAACATGGATAAAGTTTTTTTTGCTCAAACTGTATATTTGCACCACTTAATAAGTTCTTATAATGGTTCTTGGTTCAGTAAAGACATAGACAAGCGTTCTCCTTCTTTTGGTTGCCTCGTAGTATTGCTTTTAGCAAAAATGTAACAGTTATAGCGTCCGAAAGATAAAATACTTTCGCCCAACTAAAAGTTGTGTTCATCGATGTATAAAGTCCTGCCCCCTCCCCCTGGCTCCCCTCCGGTCCCCATTTCACCGCTGCGTGATCAGGCCCGTTCTGCTAATGCAGATTTTACCGTTCTCTATTTCTTGTGGATCAATAACAGCTACAGCCGTAGTAGTTAAAACAATAATTCGCCATAGGGTGTGCCAGATTACCAGCCAATCCACATGGCGGAGGGCCTCGTCGACACTAAGAAGTGTCAGACCGCTAGTACCCCTACTGTATATATATATATATATATACGGCTTCAGTGAAGTGATTATATATATATATATATGCGCAGTTAGTTCTAAGCTCGTACAAGCTCTCTTGGTACGTAGATAAATGGGTAGACTTTGCGGGCGAATGCGAAGACACGGCTCGTGTATCCATCTGTTTTTCATTTTGTTATGTATTCATAGTTAAAAACTGTATTTCAACATAGTAAATAAACCGTACCTTCATCGATACTTCGTAAGTAAAAGGGTAATAAAAGTAATAAGGGCAGCGGTAGTGACATTTAGCAGCCAGTGTAAAGTTCCTCGGGAAAGTCATCCTATAACGCCAATAGCGAATCTCACTTGAATTATTTTTAAAAAAGCAAATATTTTGTGAAATGGAAACTCCGAATTTTGAGGTGACCTACACAATGAGTTGTTGTCGCAGAAAAATGTCCCCTATTTTCCAGCGTAAGCCATTACGTTGTGTGCATAGATCCTTCTACGCATGGCCACAAAGTGTCTATCTGTTAGCACCGTAATCACGAAGCCTTGCCATGACTATGAGAATCACATATCAGAAACAAAGCTTTTTTTATAATATGAAGATATATAACGCCACATGCTAAGCAGCGTTCTCACTAACCAGCCTTGCACATGTATAGTGTACACAGATAAAATTATTTATTGCACTTACGCAACGATTCCTTAGCAAATTCAATGCGCAAATTACTTAGTTCAATCTGAGTCTGAATATAGTCTCTGCTATAGATATAATTCTGCGCTAACTAGTGATACCTGTCCTGGGAGCTACACTCGCTTGGCTTATACATAGATGGGTGGATATTTATTGTAGACAGATAAATAGCAGGAGATACGCTTCATTTCGAAGTCAATGATTGTGAAAACCCTAGACAGCTGGCGAGAAACAACGAACGCTATGTTGTTATCGCGTGGATATTATGCCGCTGTGGCGCTACTGTCAGTTTCGCTAACGGCAAGACCCGCTCTGCCTTTGTCAAGCTTGTTAAAACTGAATCGACCGGCCAGCTCTCAGAAATACTCATAGAGAATAATGGGTTGATTTTTTAGGGGGGAAGGGGTAAAGAGACGTTTGGCATAAGAGGACATGACGTTGTTCACGCAAAATGGCGCAACCTAGAAAAAAAAAAGCGAGAATATCAATTTTAGTGAATATATATATAAGCTTTGGTTCGTGTTAATGTAGATAAATGCTGGCACCTTTTTTCTAGACCAGTTTGGCACCTCCAGGCGTATCCTTCTGGCGGTATGTTAGCCAACGTGTGTTCTCCTAGATTGTATTTTTATTATTATTACCACTACTGTAAATATTGTTATGAGTACGTGCAAAAGCGTTTAGTAGTAGCATTGAGCAAAATGCCGCGCGAGGTCATTTTCTATTGCTTCGAAAAAGCCTAGAGAGGCTCCACTAGTGCTCTGCCTTTTGACTCGCAGACGTAGAGGCGCATATTTTGCCCTAATCCTTTATCAGGTACTAATCCACACTGTGTCAGAGTAAGTTTTTTTTTCAATATATAGTTAAAATTATTCGATTGTCTACATTTATGTAAAAAATTTACAATTATGGCTTAATTACGTATTTTGTTCGTATTTACCTAGATTTTACTACTGCAGCAAAGCTTCAGCGATTATTGTCGATCTTTGTAACTGGTCGAATGTAGATAGAGTAGCAACATTTGTTCGAAATCGGTGTTGTAGTAACTTTAATAGTGAAGTCGATAAACTTAATTAAGCGATTTTCGAGCGTATTTGCAATACTTCGGTTTGAAACGATGCTGAACAGCTTACGTACTGAACTTGGAACTTAAAACACTCACTTAGTCGCAATACCTTTAACGACGAATAATCAGCACACTTCTAGCATTAGTGCTCTTCTGGCATGCTGCAATCAATGCTTCAGCAGCCAAGGGAATGCTATACATTATTGTAACACTATACATGAAAGATAGATATCTCTCTGCCCGACTCGTGCTGCCCAACCCAAATACTAGGAAATGATTGAACATAACGCATAAGATCCGCTTCTAAGCGTAATTCCATAGCGATGACATATTACGCAAGGCTAAAAAAATTTTTGAGGGAAGATTCTTCGTGGCCCGTTAATTGAATGGTCTGCCTGAATATGAGCCGTAACATACCACGACAAACACAGCCTTCGAGCATAACGCGCCACTTTTACTACTCTAGAAAGTCTAGCTTTTCTTGACAGGCTATTTTTCAAGTTCAGTCTAGGGCTCATTTGCTAAATGAATTGGTCAATGCGATCAAAAACATTCAGGTATTAATAACACTTCTGTAACAGCGTCCTGAAAGCGTTATAAAGTGATCATGTTCGTCGAGGTATCAAGCGAATCATCTGAAATATTTGGCCCATTGCCGCCTCATTTTGAATGGCCATTTTGAGAAAGAGGCAGTGAACTAAGAAAGCACAGGACAGGGAGAGAGTCCCTGTTTTTATTTTGAATGGAATAGGCCTACTTTGCAGTCCGTAGCTTCACTTTCCGTGTTACAGCGGCTCCATTGTCAATCGTTTTTGTTCTATTTGGGTCTTGTATCGTTGTCGTCTGCTAGTGGCGGCGGTTGCCGCTATAAGAAAAGACCGAGGAGGGAAGCGAGGAGGAGGAGGAAGAGGAAGAGGTATGCGAAGCGTTCGATTTTTAGTCCGCTAGTTTGCTCGCGCTTGCGGCTCGAAGCACCGTCGACACTCACCGAGCAAAGAGAACGCGAGAGGCGCACGTTACTCCCAACAAACGAAGACAAGTCGCATTGACAAGTGCCACCATCCATCGCCCCGAGCCACTTCTGTTCCGTATCACCAAGTAAGACTCTTATTGCGACCCATCATCTAAATATTTAGTTTGGATTCGGTGCGACCGATCGAGACGAAATCTTATCGCTTCGAGCAGATATTTTTCAAAATAATAGTAATAGTACTTTCAGTTTTACCGCTATAGAGTATGTTCACAGATTATTTACGTGAATTCAATTGGTTGGATATGAATTTATCTCACATTTACCATCAGCAATCAGCACGCTCATTCAGATTCTATAAATGGTATCTACTTGTTGAATTTTAATTTAATGGTAGAAACAAACGGGCCCGTGGAACGCTGTAATATATAGCAGTAACTGGCTTTTCTATTTTTGACTTGCAGTTAAATGAGCAATATGATAGTAAAAGTATAAATGCGTATCTTCCGAAAGCACAATGCTTATTGAAACTAGAAAAATATTATCTATGTCCTTCAAATCCAGAAACCAGCAGTAAATTCTAATTGCAATAATGGTGCAAGATAAGCACTATAATTTAAGATTAGCAACTTGCTATGAGGAAAACGTCAGGATACCTTGTAATTGGATGTGTATAAATAATTTAGTGCTTAAATGTTGTGCGCTCACTGGCCGGGCTGTACGTTGAGCAAAATACAGGACAAGTACCTTTTTGCTTTCCATCAATCATGGACATAAAGTACAGCTAAAAACCTCTGGTTAAGAATGATTCCGTTTTAATTGAAAATTGAAAAATAGAAATTTACAGCTGACACACATGTATCTTCGTGACTTGGTAGTGGGAGATGTTATTGGCAGCGTTTTCACACAATTCGTACATTTCATAGAGTTTATCTTGCTTTTTGTTATCTAGATGTCATCTCTTCAGCGGGAGATGTTACGTTCGAAACTACCGGCGGTCCCTCCGGGACCCACTGGGCCTCCTCCGGCTCGCAGAGGTCGCAGGGATTATGCTCCGGTAAAAGGAAACCAATATTTCTCAGAGGAACAAGAAGTTGTACTCGATAATGGGGACGTTTTTAAGGTGTATAGGTAAGTGGCCCAAAAAGATAAAGTTGGAGCTTTAAAACACCCGAGATTAGTGTTTGCTTTATTAAATCGATTTTTGACACTTGGATTGTTCAGATTCAAACACTTACTGGATCAATAGAACCAGTCAACTTATCGGTTATTTCTCTTCGTCACCCTCTCTTGCAGCGTCCAGCACGTTCAATAAATCAATCCTGTGAAGGCTTGATTTCGTTTAGTTAGCAATATGTCAGCTTTTTGTATTCAAATGTTCTCGATTATATGTTTTTGGTATATGTGGATATGATATTAATGATTCGTTATTTTGATTTCAGATGTAGTTCGATTGACTGTCCCCCGGATAGACCTGTGCTGTTTCTTCTGCATGGAGCTGGATACAGCGGCCTGACGTGGGCATGCTTTGCGGTATGCCAACAATTATCGTAGTGTGTATTTTTATGCATACGTTATAAGGTTATAAGGCCGTTATAAGGTGCTATTTTCGATACTCCGGTTACTTCAGTTAATCCTAAAATAAGTTTGAAAATTATTTACAACATTATTCACTTTAAACAGAGGTGCTGAATTATTACTGATTAAATTTACAAGAAAATATGTTTCATAACCAGAATACGAACAGTACATTGAAATTTAGACGTACACATTTGTCTATGCTGCTCAATTAAGCGTGTTATTTTTTTTTATGTTATTAAAATTAGGCCGAGATTGTGTCTATGGTGGAATGTTCAGTAGTTGCCATCGACCTCCGCGGGCACGGAGAAAGTACTGCTTTGGACGAAACAGACCTTTCGGTTGAAGCCATGACCCATGATATTGGCCGAGTTTATCAGCAACTCTATGAAAGCCGAGAACAAAAACCGCCTGTCATTCTTATTGGTCACAGGTAAACAACGCCGCACCGTACCGATAGTTTTATATTCATTCCGTTAAACATCATATTTTCTGAGTATTTATCAAAACAAAAAAAGTCAGCTTCTTATATATATATATATCTATCCGAACGGTATTTACGAGTAAACATACAGTTGACCGTTATAGGTTGCTTCATTATTAAAAATATTTAACCATAAAATTTATAGTAAGTAAACTAAATAGTTTTCCAAGCAATTAGTAAATGTCGAAAGCATTTTTGCATTCATCGTGCAACAATGCATATTGGGACCCGGTAGCTCTATCTACTGTATCTGTGTAGTATGACCCTGAGCACTGTAATTTACCACACCCATTTTTAACTGCTTGCATAGCTTATCAATTCTTCGTTTCTTTCTATAGGCTAAACTCTCGTACCACATATACATCGGGCTCCGTCTAACACTGTCATATTGTTATTCTACCCAATCAAGCCAAAGGCGAGTTCAGAATCTCGACCTACTGGGCCTGCATCCGAGTTTCGCATCTAAACTTGTTATTATAGTTGTTCCGATCCAATACTGCATCGTCCCCCATTACTACGTCACAGTTATTAATATCTCGCTGGAGCTTTCTCAGCATTACCCTGTCTGAATGAACCTAATTGTTACAAGTCATTCTGTCACTTCGCTATGTTATCACATTATTCTATTTTAGAAATCTAACCGCACTTCATTAGTAATTCCATTAGCTTGTGAAATAAGAGTTTCCACCGCTGCCTGCAGCTGTTTTCGTTGGTCAACTTACATGATGATAGAGAAAGGCGCGACTAATCGTGACTAGATCGTGACCAATTTACTCGCTGTTCCTACAAACTTTGCCTTGAAGTAAGATTACAATCCTGTCGCTCTATAAAAGACGTCCCCCAGGGCTACGTTAATTATTCTGTATAGACATTGTAAATCAGTCTGTGTGATATGTATATAAAAAACATACCCTCAGTGAATCGATCGTCTAGGCAGTCCTCGGTGGGATGCGGTAATACGAATGTTGTTAGAAGGATGGATGACTCACAGGTTCATGAAGAGACTATTCCTGAGGGGATCACGACTAGTTTTGCCAAAATAAGACTAGGTCTTGGCGTTTCCAACTAGGGTGTAGACCAAACTACACACTTATGCTATTTCCTGAACAAGAAGATACGGCTGGAGGGCCTACGTAGGTTTAACGTGGACTTCTTGCGGAAGAACGCTAAAAAATACGTTCTCTCCTATTTCACCCGTAAAGGATCTGCAAATCCGCCGCTAAAAGTGGATACGCATCCACCTGCTTAGCCACGGCATTTACTGTCCCAAGAGCATCACGCGCTTCAGGACGACGGGAGGCTTGGTTGTGCAAACCTGCAATCGCGTACTTCAGTAGAACACCCTCACAGCGTTCAGGACTGATCACTCTGCCACTCGCTTTGGAAAACATGAAGCCCCGTCCGACACGCACCTGAAGAGACTCCAGACAATGCACGTCAAATGGAATCCACTAGACTCTAGAATATACCGGTTGCGGGATGGAAATGTTCCAAGAATTAATAAATCAATACCTTTACATAAGCGCAGAATAAGTAGCTATGAAGCGCTTATTCCTACCACCCAACGGCAAAGCTAAGCTGCCGCCCTCCACTATATATATGTAAATGCTTTAATAGCATTACCATACTAGTTGAAAATTGATAAATCCGCGGTTTGTGCATAAAAGATACGTTTTTTTTTTTTACTTGTGTGCGTTCTTGCCGTAATATATGTCTATATGCGACTATGAAATTTACGTTTTAGCATGGGCGGTGCGTTAGCAGTACACGTCGCGGCTGCAGGATGCATACCGGAAGTATCTGGCATTGTAGTAATCGATGTTGTGGAAGGAACAGCGCTGGATGCCCTGCAAAGTATGCAGGCTGTACTACGAGCAAGACCACGCTCCTTCCATAGTTTGGATTATGCTGTGGAATGGTCGTGCAGGTCGGGACAAACTAAAAATATTAATGCTGCAAAAGTAAGACTTGGCTTCAATATTTGGCCACTAAAATAGTAATCACCACATGTGATCTTATCCCAGTTCTTCGATATTTTTTAGGTATTGATTTGATATATGGGGTTGCGGGCATTATTGATTCGGCATCTTAGTTCGGAAGAAGTTGACAATTCAAAAAGCACAACTGTAGTCTTCGCCGCCATTAAGCAACGATAGTGTTTTACTCTAAAGAATCTTGATTGCATTTAAGACAGTATGTCAGATAATATTTTCGATTCTATCAGCTTATAATGTTAAACATTGGATATATCTTTCAAAGGTGTCCATGCCTGCTATGCTAAAACGAATATCTGACGGAGTACCGGCAACGAAGCTTATTAAAATGAGTAAGGTTTCTTCGCCGATTCCTACAACTAATGAGGTAGGAAACGATAGTACGGGCTCGTCAGCTGAAGCGCACAACAGCATCGGTGCTGCTGCTGCTGCTGCCGTGATACCTGAAGATAGAAAGGCGGACTTCAATCCTGTTAACAAGACCGATCAAAACAACCAGGGGTAAAGCATGGTCATTGTAATAGTTCATTCAGACTGATTTTCGATTGTCAACTCGAGCGTATAGTCTCATAAAGCGTCAAATTTTTGAGCTGGCTTTAAGTATAACTTTGATGCATGCTTTATAAAGTCGGAATTATGTATTTCTATCAAAGGAAAATTAAAACGCTTTTGATTTGTCCTTTAAAATAGTACATATTTTCCAATTTCACTGAAGCTTATTTCGTTCTGCATTCCGGCATAGATTTACATGGCGCATTGATCTGTCAAGAACGGAACCTTATTGGTCCGGATGGTTCCGAGGCTTATCTTCATCTTTCCTGGCCCAATCCTGTGCCAAGCTTCTTCTTCTTGCCGGTATTGATCGACTAGATCGTGACCTAACCATTGGGCAAATGCAAGGAAAATTTCAGACGCAGGTTCTACCGAAAGTCGGTCATGCCGTTCATGAGGATGCTCCTGTCAAGGTAGCTATTAATCTCAACGTACAGCAAATATATTTTCCAGGAATGATTAGAATTGACATCATTTGTGCCACCATCCAGTTAGTTTGTGAGACGCTAAGTGACAAACGTATTAATAAAAGTGGGAGTATCGCTGTGTCTAGTTTACTATAAATCTATAGTCAGTGAACTTTAAAAATTACTTGTTTGTGATTTTAGGTGGCAGAAGCAATTTCATCATTCCTTGTACGGAATAAATTATGTGAAAAAATCGGAGACTTTTCACCGCCGTCGGTCTGTTGTTAAAAACAAACAACTGTGTCCCTTCTTGCCTATCAACGCTTCGTTCATAAGTGGATTTATCGATCAGAATTGGACGGTTGTGCGACGTCTAGCTGCTCGCTGCTATGACATTTAATTTCTAGCAACTGTCAACTGGACGAGAATTGTTGTTAGCAAATAGCTATTACATAACGGAATGTTTTCAATAAATCTAAATGCATGCCACTTTGGTACATTAGGTATCCCAGCTTTGGAAGCTAGCATTACGTGGCGCAGTAGCATCAGCCAATGACTTGAAGAATACAGGCTCATTTTTTTTTGTCGGCTACTTTTAATCCTTGTAGATACCTTGCGACACTGCGCGTCTCTATCGTAACATAGTGATGGGACAGAACATAAATAACGTTTGTTTGGCAAAAACCCTACGACAATAAAAGTTACAGTGACTAGAGAAACGACAACAGCTGAACGAATCCATCTGAAAATACGTATCCCACATATATTGTTAAATAATATGTGCCTTTATGTATCTGCATGTGCTGCACCTTCTTTGATCTATATCGTAAGCCAAAGCTATTTAGGTGCTGAATATCAGGAGATCACAGTTTCACTATTAAACTAAATATAATAAAGGTGCCAAAGGCAATCCATGGATGATAAATGGTACCCCCAGAGCGAAGTTACACTGCACCCCTAACCTTGATGATTTCATATGCTTGGACTGAGAAATTTTGGCGAACCTATCTAGAGCCTCGTCAGCCGGTGAAGTATCGCAAAGTTGTTTAACCTTCAAGCTCTCGGGAATATCTCAAGCATTTGTCGAATTTATGGACTGTGTTCGCATAATTTTATTGGTGCGCTCTAGTAATATATTTGGGAACGATGTAAAGAAAACTAGATACAGAACTCGTGTAGGTAAATTAGAGGTCCGTGATTATAGGAAACTACTAACGGAAAATAAATTCGGGCTATCGCTTGCATTTGACTGAACTTGGTTGACTTGCTTAGTTGTTAGTTAACAGCTTATACCAGCGATTGTCACTAGAGAATAGCTGCGCATTTTTGCTGGAAAATATGTTATTATACTTTTATTAATACAAAAATACATTTCCGGTGGGTCTTTATTATACACACAAAGCATATTATCTGGTTGATACGTCACTCATTGTCTGCTGTTGCATCAGGGCTGGCCATACATTAAAATGAAACAGCACTTTTTGCTCTATGTACATAAGTGTAGAACTGAATGACCCTGTTAGTTAGGTATTTTATATTACTATACCCCGTGGATTAGGGTAACGCAAAACTATTATAATACACTTTATGTGCGAAATTGCTGCCTTTTTATCTTGTCAACATGAATAATGAGAGCCTGAAAAAGATCTCAAATGACGAGTGTATGGAGTGCCAACAATAGAAACTCCACATGTAGTACCGACGATCGTCTAACTACTACAGCTATCTGTCGACTGAATAGGGGGATGGGTGACAAAACTTAAATATGTATGTAGGCTTACGTATGTGGCGTTGGTTGGGATACACTATCGACAATCTGATTTAACACTGCTAGCACTTCCTCTTGCGAATGTCTTTTCTCTTTAGAGGTGGCTCGGCCATTACGGGATATTGTGACTGTGCCATCGTCGTCGATTCCATTGTGGTAACGTCGAGTTCCGATACATTCATCTAGGTCAGCTGAATTTTCGACTTGATCGTGAACTAAATTCAATGTGTCACAAAATTCAGATTTGTTTAGTATTCCATTACATTTTACCTCATTAAACTTTTCGTTTTCAACGTTATTATTGTTCACATTAGGACTCATCGATTCTCCAGAGTCGTATTCATCCTTATTCCCATCGTGAGCCTTATGTATATCAATTTTCTGTGGAACAACACTACTCTCTTTAGAGGGATCACTAAAGGACATGGAACTTCGAGTTGGTTTTGGTCGTTTGAGTGCAGAACCATCATCCTGAGAGGTACGCAATGAAGCACTACGTCGAACGATAGCTCCGTATATTGTCGAATTGCTCACCTCTCGCTCCATCCGACGTCGATCGGCGCATACCTTGTCGAGGACTTGGTTCACAACAGCGAACACATCCGATTCGATAAACTCTACAAGAAGGTCGGGAGATTCACCGAGCAGCTCAGGAATGCTGTCGGGATAAAATCGGGTAGCATCGTGTCGTCCGCGGTCTTCGAACAAAATTTCGCCGTCCTCAAACTTGATCTTCAGGTCGTCATAATGTAAAAATGCCTGCGCACGGTTCGTTTTAGGGATGGTGAAGTGAGTCTTTACGTGATCCCGTAGAGTAGCCGGATTGATGTTACTATACGAGCAATGCGGACAACCGTTTTCATGCTTCAGAATGTGCCGTTTAATATGATGCTGCATACCGTCTTTACGGACGCAGGTGTGCGGGCATGCTGTACAGGAAAACATTCGTCGCTCTTCTTCCAGCTCTTCAGGCTCTGGTGTCCTTGTAACCGCTTCCAGGGTCATTGGTTCCGCGTCCTCAACTAGTGTCTGAGGCACAGAAGCTGTGTGGAATAACACAGAAATCGACTGTTGTGAATTCGCATCAAGATCAAGTCCAGAGTCAGTCTTCGACACTGCAGCGTCATGCATGCCACGGTGCCGACTAATAATATCATATTTATTCGTTGCGAAGTGACATTGCTCACAACGAAAACGACCCTCACTAACATGTCTAAGGAGGTGACTTTCAAAGAGGTTCTGTTTGGAAAATGTCGCTGGACATTTCGGACACTGCTTAACGGCCGGTGTACTGAGATGATGTCGCATATAGTGTAGCTGAGCGTGTGCAGCCATATTATCTTTTTCGTCGACTGAGTATGAACACACGTGACACTTGAAGCGTCGCATCAGCTCATCGTGTAGACGAGCATGGAATCGTAGCACAACTTGCTTATCGAAGCTAGCGGGACACGCGGAGCACTTGTATCGCCCATTGGTCACTCCGTCAAAAACAGCCTTCGACTCTTGAAGCTCAGCCATTAGTAAAGCAACAGAGTACTCTTCGCTGGCGTAATTCGTGGACGAATTCTCGGAATCTTCGTCTGCCGAGATTTCTGACTTCACAGTCTGCTCTTTCGAGGCAGCTGCTTTTCGTTCTTTCGACGGTGTGACCGTTTCCTTCCCTGAGCTAACCCGTCTTTCGTCTTTCGGAACAGATGGAAAAAGGCTTGTAATTGGTTTTGATGAATCGACGGTAGATGTTGATGGAACATCCGTTGACGTAGCTGGCTGTTTTTTTGGAACCAGAAAAATGGGCTTCGATGGCCTTGGTGGCATGCCCAATTTTAGTGCCTGTTTTCGAGTGCCCGGTCCGGTGGCATGCCTGTGACAGAAGCCTAGTTTTTTAATCATGTACTCCTCTGTATGAACCTGCTCGTGTTGCTGAATGTACACAGGCTTGTTCATTGAGTATGAGCATTTTGAGCAGCGAAATTCGTCCGGATGACGGTGATGACTCAGATGACGTTTCAGTTCATTGGGGCTAACGAAAAGCGCGGGGCATTCAGGACAAGCAACCCATTTACGTTGGTTTTTCTGCAACGACATAAGAGTCATTACGCTTGTTAAACTAACAATCACCAAATGAATCGAATTGAAGGGTTGCAGTGATTAGCATATGTTATTAGAAATATCTAAAATAGATGAACAAATGTCGTTTGATATAAATAAAAAGACCCAATTTAACAAGTTATATTCATACCAGCCCCAGACTAGTCAGCCGTCATATCATATGTACCGTTTATATAACATACTAGTACATATGCACATATATTGTTAATTGATTCTTCCTTTTTCCATGTCATAATAAGAAGTTAATAAATATAAGTTGCGCAAGTTAGAAAAGTCGACAAACTTGACGTGTGCTACTGATGCTGCTGGTACGACTAGAGCAACAACTGACCTTGTTCTGGTAGGAAATCAGACCATCCCTGCGTCGCTCGCCAATATCATCTTTCTGTTTTTGATGAGTGGGGGCTTCTTTTGGTTTTTTGATGACCTCCTGCTTGGGAAATAATGGTCCAGCGAAATCGTTACTGTGCATACTACTACCTCCATTTTGACGACTTTGCAAAAGGTTAAATAATTCAGATTCAACGGCACTGCAATTGTATTTGATCTTCTTAACTGGCTGCGGACGCGACATAGCTGAACCAGCTGCTGTTTTAGAGGACGCTTGAACTGCTTTAGCCGAGGATTCCTCATCACTAGTGTCTTCTATTTCTTCGATCATCTCAACACCCGCATCGTCTTTGCGAACTCGCTGAGTTACGTGTGACCTCAGATGATTACAAAGCTCAGTCTGGATTTGGGCTTTAAACGTGCATAGATGGCACGTGTAGCGTTCAGGTGAGGTTTCACGATGCAGCAATTCGTGGAATCGAACATTGTCTTTGCTACGATTCATTAGCGGACAGAACCGGCATTTATGCATCTTGAGGGCGATGCCATTTTTAACAACACGGAACGTGCGAATACTGTCAGTCGAATTCGACTCGGTTGTGACTGAAATTTCCGCTGGGGGCAGCCAGGACCCCTCAGGGAACTTCTGGTCAGGTGCCCCTTTCTGATGTACTCTTGCGTGCTGCGTGATCAGATGGGGATGCATCGCCCAATAACTGCACTTGTCGCATTTATATTTAGCCTTCGGGTTGTACCTGCAATTAATAAGAAGGTGCGTATCATAACGTTAGTAAAAATATAGGCTTTTCGATTTTCAACAGGAAGCGTAAAGTGCGGGTTGAATGATAGTAATAATTATAACAGAAATAAAAGTACACAATGCGTGTTTCCGTGTATTTCTCTGGAATACTTACCTATGGAATTGCTTATGGTAGATGAATTGAGAGTTTGAGTTTGTTACAAATGGACAAGTGTCACACTTGAGCACAAGTCCGTTGGCCTCTGCGCCGGCGTCTCGCGTTGAATTGACAGCCTCCACCGTTCCAGCTTCGCGGCGGCGCTCGGCGGTTACGTCGGAGAAGATCGCTGCGAGACTTGTCGTTGTTATATCGAGGCCAACTCCATTTGTATCTAGAACTCCTTGAGCCCCTCTTTTGACGTGTTGCGGGTGCAAGCACATGTGCCGCTGGATTCGTCGTCGGGTCTCCTGATAGAAGTCGCAATAAGGACACTTGTATCGCATTAAATCAGGACGCGCGCGAATGTGTCCTTCACGATGCCGCTGCAAGTTGGATTTTTGAACGGTTCGGTACGGGCAGTTGTTACAGCGTAATTTGCGGGTCACGCCCGTTAGCTCTGCGTTGGACGTAACTTTTTCCACTCTATTAACTATCTGGGATGTTTCGTCCATTTGGAATACATTTCCATTCTGTCGGTAAGTAAGCTGCAAACGGATATATTTCGGGTCTACTGGCGTATCACGATGAACCTTGAAGATTGCAACAAAATAATTAGTTGGTTTGCTTCAATAAAATGTAAAGGCTTTTTGCTTTTTGGAATATGTTTATATTCTTTGTTTTGCAAAAGCACTTTTTATTTTGATAGGTATATCGTCCTGTTCAGTTGAAGGCTACCTGACCTAGATACTGTAGAAATCATTTCCGTTTTATGCGTTCTATGCATAGGAAACTAACCCAACTGTAACGCCAAGCAAAAGTGTTCGGAACAAACGTACCTGCTGTAAATGTATCCAGGCGGTGTGATGCCATTTATTAGCAAGACCACATTTGGTGCAGATGAACGGGAGCACGTTGGCATGCGCGCCCAAATGGCCAAGCATAATGTCCTTATGATCGCATGTGTACTCACAGTGGGCGCATTTTAGTGCGCCTCCTGGTGGTCCGTTCGTTGTAGGTGCTTCAGACGTTGCCGGGGATATTGTAGCCGATCGTTGTGATTGTTGCTGAAGCTGCTGTTGTAACTGAAGCTGCTTCTGCTGTTGCTGTTGCAGAGTTTGCTGTTGCTGCTGCTGCTGCTGCTGCTGTTGTCGTATCTGTTCTTTTTTCTGCAATTGCTGAATCATGTAGTTGTGCGTATCCTCTCGCTGCTTGTTTGTTCGAGCCTGCTGCTGTTGTCGCATAGCCTGCTGGATAGCTGCTACACTCTGCGCAGCGATCATCGAACCCACAGGCACCGGAGCTAACTGGGCTTGTACCACTTGTCGCGCATTTATCTGCGAAGATACAGGTGACTGTTGTTGTTGTTGTTGCCGCTGCTGTTGTTGTTGTGGTGATGTGTGAAGCTGCTGTACTGAACGATTTTGAGGAGTAACAAGTCGCTGTTGTTGTTGGTATTGCTGAATGCGTGCCTGCACAGTTGGATCGCCCATGAAGGACGGATGTATCCGGCCTTGAGTGGCCATTACACCAGCTTCGGCCTGATCATCCGGCGTTTCCATGTGTTCTCCATTTGCTGGCCCCTGTAACGTTCATCTTCAGTCTTTAAAATGCGGCCTAAGTAGTTACGTAGGTCATTTGAAAAACTGAATAAGAAACATTTCGAGAAAATACAATTGTGTTTGTTAAACTATGGCCATTTGGCATGCTGCTACCGATTTCGAGCAAGTACATGAACGAAGCTTGCATGTATAAAGCTTTGTATTAGTTACCTCTTTGATAAAGCATTGGTACTTGCTATAATCTCTCAGGCCCGCTTCATTGATACAAATGCATCGGGCAGCGCGATGAAGACGATCGCCCTTGCTTATTCGGCCCCGAATATGCTTGTTAATGTCCCAATAGTAATTACTTTTTAGGTTGCAAGCCGAACATTCAAAGGGTCGAACATTTAAATGCTGCATATAGTGAATATGAAATCGAGACGCGGTTTTCGTCAAGAAATCGCAATATGGGCAAAAATAGTGCGCATTATTGGGTGTCTTCTGTACCGAGTTCTGCAGATCTTGTTGAACAGCGAATTCTGCAAGTCCAAAAATATTCAAACATTGGTTTTTATCAGTAACAGTTCGGGCTGTAGGTCATGAGCTAAATTATAAACAATAAACGAACAGACTAAGGGACAGAAAAAATGTAATAAGCTCGGAAAGTTTACACAACAAAAACGATGTTCACTAGTATTTTCAACCATTGTTTACCCAAATATTTGATCATGTCATGGCGTGTCACTTACTTTCGCGGTCGACGTTCTCTTGCTGTGACTGTTGCGTGCTTTCCGTCACCTTCTGAATGGTTTTGTAAAGAAGCGACTCGTTTGGCGTACCACTCGACTGAGTTGCCGTGTCAGGGTGAGTACTCAATAGATTCCTGAGCATGCCCCCGGAGGGTAGCAGTGATGTTGTCAATGATGATTTTTCTTGGTTTTGGTCCAGTGGCGGGGCAGATGTTTGGTTCGATTCTTGGTCAGTGGGCGGTGTATCGTGGTATTTCGTCATGTGTTTGTTGAGATCATCTGATACGAATAGAGAAACCGCATAAATAAAGCATATGGAACGAACGCATAATTAAAATAAAGCTGCTGATTTATTGCATCTACTGCTATGTATAAACAATTAATTCAATAAAATTAAATATACGATGAGTTTTAAAGTACGGGCAGTTGTTACTATAATTGTACCACGTGGCGAAAACTTATTTGCTTTAATCTTCATTCAGTTGTCTATGCTTACTTTTCCAGACCGTCTTGTAGGGGCAAAGTTCGCACGAAAGTGGTTTGTGAATGTATTCATGCTTCTGATATTCCTGCTTAACACGAGTTGAATACGCGCAATAGCGGCACTTAAAAATCGTACCGGAGCGCTGACCGGGGGGTTTTAATGACAGCGCTGAAGCGCCGCTACTTCGCGTGGAGCTCTCCGCATTCCTGCAATAACCACAGACAATTCCACCGGTCAAATTTCTCCAGACACACGTATCACTTACGAATATTGAATTTCAATAACGTCAAGCAAACTTTCAGCCGTCACACAACTTCAGCATTGATTTGCCTTCTTTTTTCTAAGCTTTATAGTAGTGAACAAAAATTGCGCTTTTCACGGTCGATTTTTTCCAGGGAGGAACCACCTTGCTCCACGGCTTTGATTGAGCACATCCGTTAATCGCATTTTGTGGTTAGTTAGCTGCTAAGATGCTCGTTATTATCCGCCGCCTTGTTAATCCTTGTCACTCGTTTGTCTTAAGTGAATACCTACCCTCCTCCAGAAGGTCCAGCCACCGGGGTGATGCTCAATCCTAGCCTACTCTGTAGCCTGGCCAGTGCATCATCCTGGCCTGAACCCGATGGGCCTGCTGCATTATGAGGAGAACTAGTAAGAGGAAGAGGTGCTGCTGCTGCTGCTGCTGCTGCTGGCAGTACGGATTGTGATGCTGGCGGTGACGGTATACACGACGGTTTAGTCCGTAACATCTGAGCTTGTTCAGCCTCAGCTTCATTCATATGCTCCTTCTTGTGGTGCTCAAGAAGGTCCGAAAGGCTGAGAAAGCAGATTCCGCACAGGTCGCATGTGACGGCGGCGTCCCCCTCATCCTCTTGGCTTGTAGTAGCCTCGTCAATTCCAATAGAGGCTCCCTCCATTTCGCCTGGCATCGAACCGTCGACGACCAGCTCACCTCCTGTCCCACCGCTGCCAATTGCACTTGAACCACACTGCATCATCTTGCCGTTGACAAGCAACCATTCGCTTCGACACAAACGAGATAGACTAGACGAAGCCTAGCGAGCACTGGGAAACGCAGCAACCAGGGAAGCTCACCCTGGCGGCTGCCGCAGCATTATGCCGTAGCTCTGCAACAGTAACAACAACTCATGTGGAACTTAAGCGACTCGACCCGGCTTGCCTGCCTGCCTGCCTGCTCCTGTGGTCTTAGTGGAGATTTCAGTGAAGATCACCGTCCAGCCAGCGAAAACAGCGGTGGCTACAACAACAACAACGCTACTACTGCCGCCCCGGGGAGGAGGACCAACACATGGCGGCAGGATGCTGCTGTGAAACTGTATGCGGCTGCTGCAGCCACCGCTGTCTGTTGCTCTGCCCGGCTCTGCTGGCCGAGGAGAGGAGGAAGTCAGCGACAAGCTACTAGATCGTTGTAGTAGTAGAAGTGGCGGTATCAGCAGCAATGGTGGTGGTGGTGGTGGTGGTGGTGGTAGTGCTGGTGCTGGTGGTGGTGGTGCTGCTGCTGCTACTGCTACTACTACTACCACTACTACTACCACTACTACTACCACTACCACTACCACTACTGCTACTACTACTACTACTACTACTACTACTACTACTACTACTACTACTACTACTACTACTACTACTACTACTACTACTACTACTACTACTACTACTACTACTACTACTACTACTACTACTACTCTACTACTACTACTACTACTACTACTACTACTATACTACTACCATTACTACTACTATTACTGCTACTATTCTACTACTACTACTACTACTACTACTACTACTACTACTACTACTACTACTACTACTACTACTACTACTACTACTACTACTACTACTACTACTACTACTACTACCACTACCTACTACTACTACTACTACTACTACTACTACTACTACTACTACTACTACTACTACTACTACTACTACTACTACTACTACTACTACTACTACTACTACTACTACTACTACTACTACTACTACTACTACTACTACTACTACTACTACTACTACTACTACTACTACTACTACTACTACTACTACTACTACTACTACTACTACTACTACTACTACTACTACTACTACTACTACTACTACTACTACTACTACTACTACTACTACTACTACTACTACTACTACTACTACTACTACTACTACTACTACTACTACTACTACTACTACTACTACTACTACTACTACTACTACTACTACTACTACTACTACTACTACTACTACTACTACTACTACTACTACTACTACTACTACTACTACTACTACTACTACTACTACTACTACTACTACTACTACTACTACTACTACTACTACTACTACTACTACTACTACTACTACTACTACTACTACTACTACTACTACTACTACTACTACTACTACTACTACTACTACTACTACTACTACTACTACTACTACTACTACTACTACTACTACTACTACTACTACTACTACTACTACTACTACTACTACTACTACTACTACTACTACTACTACTACTACTACTACTACTACTACTACTACTACCACTTCTACTGCTACTACTACTACTACTGCTGATGCTGCCGCCGCTGAGGGCGGAGAGAAGCGCCCTCTAGCCGACATACCAGGGGAGCGCAGGAGCTACACTTCTGCTGCTTCTGCCGCTGCTGTTATGCGGGGGGGAGGGGTGCAGGATGAAATGCCAGGTCGTCGAATCGCTCGTCATTGGTTCGTGTGCGCTTGTTCTCGTTGTTTACGAAGCAGCATCGGCAGAGTAGCATCAGTCGAAGCAGTCGTGGCAGCACCGCTGCAGATACAGACGAAGGGAGCCCCTTTCTAGCACACGGGGAGGATGCAGCTGTGGACTTAGAAAGCAAAAGGCTACGAAACTGTTGTGGCTGCACGACTGTTGCCAGCGGTAGCCGTGAAACTCCAGAAAAAAGACGAATCGTTTAAACCACAAACCGTCTCAACAATCGGAATTACACATCACCTTTTAAGAATACGCTTAAAGGGACCAAATGAAGCTATGGGAATATGTATTAAGATTATGACAATGTCGTCGACTGGCCTTTGGCTAATGCATGCTTGATACAATAAAACAGATACTTAAGAATCCTAAGAAACGCGCAAGCACCTCGTAATGTGCTGCAGAACGAGTAGTAAATGCTATTTCTAACATGACGCTGTTTAAAATATAAATAATGTTTAGTTATTTCAATGTTTACTTGCAGATTAGACATTTGCTCCTTTGACCAGTATAAAGCGCACTCTAGAAGGCAGCTGAAATGCTCTATTTCTTGCTCACAAAACATCTCACGGTAACGCCATATTGCTCGTCCATCACTGATTGTGGCCCCGCATCGCTTCTCCTCCTGAAAAAAGGAGTGTTGCGACTGACTTATGTGTCTGTTTATAGGAAACACACCGAGAAGGCAGCTACGCATTGCTCCTTGAAAGTGAGCGCCACTTTTGCTCTTGCGGCAGATGGCACTTGTATTTTTTGTTTCGTATGCTATCACAGTATACATGCGTTCAAATATATCACTGTCTACAAGCCCTGTCCTACACACTAAATATTTTTGTATCGTCTCTGTGGGATTTCATTAATAACGGCTAAAACTAAAGAAACGGCAGTAGTCTATTCTTCACCATGCACAGCGGCTGAATGAACATGTTACGTTGAAACTGGACGTACGATAACTCCACTATGGCTAGATATGCAAAAGAAAACAGACATCACTTTATTTAACAATAAAATATCTATGAAACTTGGCGAAAGCTAGGCGAAGTCGAGGGGCCTGATCGTAAGCTAGCTTACTTTGAGGTAACGGGGCAAAAAGTTCACGTATCGAAAGCTGTCGAGAATGCTTTAAAGAGGAATAACAACTTGCAAACTATACAGTTGGAAGGCTTCGGTAAAAAACTGGAACAATGTAGAATCAAATTTGGAGTTGGGGTGTTCCGCGTTCCTCTTTGTTGAAAATTATTTAGGGTCACCATTTGGTATTGTCTCGAAGACAAACAGAAGTGGTTCTGCTTGACCTACCGATGAGTTGGTCAAACAGATTATGAAACGGCTTGAAAGTGATATCTACGGCTAATGCAGCACTTAGGTCAACATATTTCATGTTGTATTGAAGTGGTCAATCAACAGATCTATTATTATTCGTATTTTAGTCCTATTCTACCTGCTGGTAATAAATATAAAATCAACTTTTGAAATTTGACTATATTTAAAAGGCCGGCCGTTGGCATACCCAACAATACACTGCCGCTTCAATATAAATGCGACAGATGTTCTAACCTTTGGAGCAAGGTAGACTTAACCATATTCTGCAAACTGACAAGGCTGTGTGCATATGCAAAGGACCCACTTAGTCAAGTGGGTCCTTTGCATATGGAAGACTGTAAATTTTTAAACAAGATGTCATTTCGGCTCTCACAGCTTTTTACTGTTCGAATGAGTTCTGCTACTTCTTTGAATCGGGTCAAAAAAGACGCGGAACAAAAGCAGCCTACTGCTATCATTTAGAGGAGCGGATTTTAGAATAGTCTAAATCTATTATTTACGAAACGCTAAGTACAATAGTGTAAAAAAAAAAACCAATTATGTTTTTCGCATGGTCCTCGCTATGCGCGAGCGGTTATTTGCTCTCTTTAGAAAAAGAAGGCTACACATAGTAGAAATAGAAATTCTGTTTGTTGTTAGATTTTTCAAAAAATTATCTATTGTATACTATTGGTAGGTTTAGTGTAACTCTGAAGCACGTTTCGATGTCAAAGACATTCTATAGATAAGGCAACAATGCATAATTGATCCTAAAATGAAGCTTTTGTCGTAACTGAGGAACACAAGCCTCTTTGTGTACTAGCTAGTTCACCTTACCAGATACTTTTATGTTGACGTTCATCTAATACGAGAGCAACCTAATTACGTAAGGGATATTATGAAAAGGTTAAATACAGAGGTTTGCGCAGGTTTCTGCATTGGCATGGCTGCATTGACACTGTATCACCAGAAATTTCCGTATGTACGAATTGGTTTTAGGATTTCTAGCATGTAGTCCTTTCATGAAATATATTTACCGCTACTCAGAACGGAAAGCATAAGCGAAGTGAGAAGAGTGTCCACATTACTCCTGGAATGTCAGGAAAATGCCATACATATCAACATTGAAGGATTGAAGACAATTCTCTCCTCATTATGAGCTCCTGTTGATCTCCGTATCAGCACATTACGGATCAATATCGTGAATCGTCCAAAAGCAGTCAGTCAGTCATTCAAAGCGATTGCCTGAAACACTGCCGGGTCAACCCGGGCAGAAATTAAATGAAAAAGTACGTCATTGGAACAAGCAGATAGTGTACTGAACAGAGTGAGTTGATTGTTTTGCATGGTAACAATGCAGGTGATCTCGTCGAACGGGATAATTGATTGTCACTGAATGAAGAGTGCTCTTCTTTACAGGCTCTCTGCAACACAGAAATAAATTTCGAAAAGCGATACCTTGATAATTTGTATGTGCTTGTCGTCGCTGTCTAAGTTTGCGTTGTGGGGACACGCAACCAACCAACCAACCAACCAAATACTGCGGATACAGGCTCGGACTTATTTATAGGCTCGCTTCAACTAGATACCTAGAGGTAATGACTATTAACATCCCGTTTTGACATATACCCTCTTTCTAGATCTATAGCAAAGCTTAGATCTTCGTCCGAGGCAGAATAACTTGAGTGAATAGTACTCTGGCACATAATGCTGCACCGGTTTAAGTCGGTATAAGAATTTATTCTTTCTGCGATGATGGATTTCACGAGATGATTTCTCCATTGACTTAATGTTGGCTAAGAAAAGGTTTCAATTCGAAATCTAAATTTACCTCATCATTTGTAGGTCTCACTTCTATTTACAAAATGTCTGGACTATTTCTATTTATATCTGTAACCGCAGAAGAAGTGTTAGGGCGATATCAGCACTTCCGATGGGAAACATTCGCACAACTCAGTCTCCTCGTAGATGGTGCCACTACCGGTAAAT